TTCTTCTTCTTCTTCTTCTTCTCCTTCTTGTTTCGACATGCCAACAGGGAATCACGTTTTCGTTAATATTAACCTGGGGCCTGTGAACAGGTGGAGCAGATGTAGAGCTATGCATCACCTGTAGACAGAGTGGATAGTGTTTGGTGCGTCATTACGTCGGAACATGGATTTGTACTTGCCCTTTGGGGAATTTTCGTCGGTGACATCAATATGCAAGCCTTAGTTTTTTATTACTATAGCATGCCTGCTTATTTGACATCGGTAGACGTGTTGCATCGGTGTTTAGTTTCCAACTAAGCTGGACAAGCGAATAAACTTAGGGTAAAGGTTGAGGTCAGGCCTAAAGTTAGGGATAGCGAAAGGGTTAGGGTTGCGTTATGTTTGCCTGCCGCGCGCCGTCTCACCCAATCTGACAGTCATTGCTCAACAATCTCGATGCCTATTGTAGATTCCGCTAATTACCGCGTTCATATGCCCTATTGATAATGCTGATATTAACATCCTTCACGTATTACAGAAGTCCCTGGGCGTTATTTCCTCATTGGGCTAATATGTCAAATTCTTGCTCAATTCTCCTGTCATCAGGAGAAAGCTGTTGTTTTTCGATATCGCCCAAAGACCAGAAAATTGCCGTTAGAAGACTTCGGGGAAAAAACACTAAGAATTTGGACACGGCACAGGTTCATTCAGCATTAAACGGCGCGTGGAATTATTCATTTCATGTATAATCTGCTCGCCAACAGGCCGCCACTGCATGGCGAGAAGCCGCTTAGTTATTGTCCGTTGGGGAAGACACCATTTCTTATAAAGGCATAAGCGCAAATGTGAAGCCTTCTGTTCTTAAATTATCATCAGGTTAGTAAAGACTACTTAGCATAAGAGGGAAAAGCCCCCATTTTCTTCGCATTATTACCCCCCCCCCATCCCCGGTTTGGTTGAAAAATAGGGGCAGTTATTTATTCTCAACTGGGGGCTCTCAGGCTACCATACTCAGATTTACTTGACATTATCTTCCATGACAGGCATAGTTGGCACCCCACGAAGGTAATATTTCTTTATATAAAAACATGCTCGAAGATTCTAGTCAGTATCACAGAAGTTTTGGTACCTGGTGCAGTTTTGATTGGAAAAATCCAGAAGTAGGCAGTAGTCTAGATTACATGCCTCAAACGTGTGCCCTCTATTCTGTCAGGACACCCCGATTACGCTATACCCGCTTCATTCCTATTTCAAACACACTTTATTTGTCAGTAAGCTAGGGCACAGATATTTGTAGCCGCCTCCCCTTGAAGCATCTTTCGACGAAGTACCGCTTAGTGCATTAAAACAAACATGCAACACAAGTACCATTTCTTCGCTTCAGACGTTTAGGAACATCACGTAAATAATTTCCCGTCAACTAATAGTCTGAAAACGTCAGAACCCTTCTACAGTGCGGATCTGTAGTTGCAGACTATATCGTTCTTAAGAATTAAATTTTGATCGTATTAGGACCATGGCACTTAGGCCAGTAATTATATCAGTGACACACCAGTCAGGCTATTCTGATCGTGGCTTCATCACCAAGGACTTGCCCCCGGCGACTCTAGTCGCCAGACCGACACCCAAAAGAACCACAAATAGACGACGGTAGCGGCAACTTGCGCTTCAAACAGCCGCCCATGGCGCGCTACCGAACAACGCGTGAACCTGAGGCGGCTGTAAAACACCACCGTCAACGAACAGTCGATGAGGAATCTGCCAATCAGCGCGAGATGTGAGTCATCGTCACAGCGCGAAGCATTTACTGGGCTTGTGCAATTTAATGCGGCAGTACGTGGGCAGCCATCGTTCAAAATCGATCGAAAAAAAAATTGGTTATCCTGCCGTGTCAGGAGCCACGACCACTCGTCCGAACAAGCCCTGCCTACGAGGTAGATGCTTCGGACAGGTTTTTGCTACGCCCTGTCGTCTGAAAGTAAATACCGTCATCATTCTGGAAGTAGCTATTGTCTGCTTCTTCGGACGTTACGGCGGGACGTGATCAGGGGTCCATTCACGGCCATTGGATCTCTTTTCCTCACGTTCGACTCCGACGAGGTTTGGTCGGAATGGGGCTTCAGGAGTGTTCATTTGAGAGCTGCAAATCAGAGACAGAAAGTAGCAATATCGGCAAGCTGCGTAGTTCTTTCGTTTGACGAAATGGTATTGATGCTCCGGAGATGGTGACCTGCGAACGAAAAAGCTTATCAACAAACTATTTATTTTAGGGGATGTAAATTCGACAGGTTCTCCTAACCAAGACGAGGGTGACGGGCACAGCCAGTCACCACTTTTTTGTCTTCACCGGTTGTCCATCCACAACCTCCTGGCTACTCTGATCATTGAATTTCGGCGTCAACTTCTCCACCAACTGGCCACGGGCTGACTGTTCTCCCTGCTGTAAACGGGGATACCAGGTTACCTGGAGGTGCCTTCCGTCTATCTGTCTGATTGTCTAGGCGTAACGATCTGTAACATCGTCATGAGTCAAACTCGTCCCCATTCTCGGTCCGGAAATGTGCTGGCAGTGGCTAACTGATGGTTAAAACTGCGCAGAGCCAAAACTCCCCACGATGGCCTGTATAGGCTGAGTAAAATACCCATCAAATGTCAGATTTCCCTGGCTTGCGGCAGGCGCAGCTGTTAGTACCTTGTTGATTTAAAATGCCTTCGACAGCGAGGTAGATCCACTTTACAAGGTTGGTTATCTATGAGATCTGATATTCTCTCGCAAGTGTGGAGAAATTAGCCAGACGTGACCAGACAACTTGGGGTTTGACCGGTCAATAAGTAAAATGGCATATAATGGGTCATTTCTCACGGCCTTTTGCCTTCCACCTGATCCGAGAAGTCTATGTTTCATGCTTCGTGGACTCTTAACTCGTCCCGAGGTCGTCTGTGCGCAAAGCAAACGCAAAGTCAAATTTCCTTTAAAGAGAACCAAAGAACGAACTTCTATGCCAGACTGGCTGACTTGTTTTCGATTTGTATTAAGCCCCATCCCCTCCCCTCTGCAGTCAGAGACACATACCTGACGGGAAATTTGGTCATTGAGCGTTGGAACGGACTGAAATCGACGATCGTTTCGCTCCGGTTTATCCCAAAACAGAAAGATTTTAAGAGGAATTGCTTGTTGCATTCATCCGTCTCCAACACTTTTCTTTAAGTTCCTAGATTATCGTCCGTCAATCCACGTCAAGATATGGTCTGATCAGCCATTGCAGGTCAAATTTTTATTATCATAGGCTTGAAGTGTGCGATTGTGGCCTTCTCCGAGCCTGCGGTCACCAAAGTTTTGCTCCTTCACATTTTCGCGGCAGTTTTTGGTCAAATTTTTTTAAATAACCTCTGGTCGTCAGTCAGCGGCAGTCTAAGTAAAACCTGGATGAGGAAAGTAGAAGAACCATGCTGATTAACTCCACCATAAGGCCTTTCACTGATCTCCCTCACCCATCAACGATAAGATGCTGGGCAAAACTGTATCTATGGGCCGACAACTAGAAGGTTCCCAAATCACAAGTCAGGGAAGACAGAACTGTTGGACAGACTTTACTGGACCACGAGAACTCAGCAGACAAAGGCAGCGAGTGTCTTCTCAAGCCGACTGGGTGTTGTCGAGGTCTTAGCACCGGCCCGAAGCCCTGTGTGTGCCTGGGCCTTGTCTGCCTGCAGCCAATCAACGAAGACCGCTGTGCCGATTGGACTCGAGGTCTGGCGATGCTGGTGCCAAGGCTCACGCGGTTCAAGCTATCGACTGACAGGGCACGTTAGGCGGACAGGAAAGCGGGATGGCTAAGCTGTAGCTTTGGTGATGGCTTGAACAGGTTTCCACAACACTGCGTTTAGAGACAAAAGCGATTTGACACTCGTACGCAATATTATAGGTAGTCCTTTTCAAGGAGTGTAAGCTCCCCCGGGAAGCTGGTGACTCCCTTTCCCGTTCAAACGTACTGGTAGTCGTCTCTCTTTAGAAGTCGCCATTCGTGCGCTCAAAAACCTCCTTAGGCAAATGATTGAATCGGTCTAAAAGCCACTTGCACCCGTCGACTAATCACAACCTGGGTCCGAAGGCGTATTCAGTCCAATGCGGCAGAATTGCGCAGTTGTGCCGATGAAGATTCATTTCGCTGAAAATAGGAAGTATGTGCGAAGGTGGTGTTTTTTGCGTACCACTTTTACGGTGAGAGGCCAGAGTCCAAGGACAATACTGAGCGCTGCGGTTTCCGGTCTCGAAATCTTTTCTAAGTGAAAAAAAGATGCAAAATGTCAATATAAGCACAAAAGAACTGATTTTCTTAGGAACCCTGCATACCTCCTTCAGCCCATGCTATATTCCTAACAAAACCTCTGAATTGAGAGCACAACCACTGCTTGACCTTTGCTTCGCGTCAGATCCCGCAAAGTCCCCCAACCTTACATTTTATTGTGGCACTTCCATTCAAAAAGGAAAGGGAGGAACGCCATGGTTGCGCACCTAAAGTACAAGTAACCTGGGCGTTTCAGCGGAATTCCTAGCTGTTAGGGTGGGTCAAAAGGACGCTCTGTAATCGCGCCACACAGACCTCGGCTGCCTTCAACTTAGAAGCACTTTCCGGCAGATTTGTGTGTCAAGGCCGCATACGCAGGCCCTAGTTTTCTTTTTCGCCGTTTTTAAATAATAATTAGAAAATACCGCGCACTGTTACTCGAGGAGAAGGAGGCTTATTAAGAGGAAAGAAGAAGAAGAAGAAGAAGAAGAAGAAGAAGAAGAAGAAGAAGAAGGAGAAGAAGAAGAAGAAGAAGAAGAAGAAGAAGAAGAAGAAGAAGAAGAAGAAGAAGAACTAGGAAGTGGACCTGGGCAATCGTCTTAAGCATGTGCATGTTTTCGATCAGTGTAAAGATAACAAGAGACGGTTCCAAATATCATTTACAACAGGCAGATCCTTTGAAGATCGCATGTTTTTCGAAAAAAATTAACTGAATAGTGATGTTTTATAAATACTGGGGTAGGACACGGTTATAAGACCCCCCCCCCTCGAAATACGGGTGGCTTTGAGCTAACTTCCGCGAAGATTAGGGTTAGAGTTCAGGCTAGGGTTGGGAAAGACAGCCTTTCTCAAACACTACTGCACCAGACACTCAATTTCGGAAGCCTGCGGAAGTAATCTTTTTTCAGCTGAAAGCCTGTCGCAGAATTGCAGGCAACTTTTAATAAATTCGGCGTATCTTGTGCATTATCCTAGGTCAAGGTCATTCCGTTCATCAACCTGGTAGATGTTGACCGCCCCATGGGCGTCAGGGGCACCATCCGAGCCAGGTGTGAAAAAACAAAAATAAGTATACCGTGAGTCCGTCTCGTTCGCTGGGTCTACCATTCAGCTTAGCTGGACCGCTGATGGTCCGAGGACCCGGAATTATTCCGGCCGAGGGCATAGCCCCCGTTCAAAACAAACCAAAGATATGGTACACTGACCGAAAGTTCAGTCAAGTAGTTTGCGGGGAGCCATGCACACCTCCAGATTAAGCGGATGACTCGGCGGTAAGAGTTCATGAGCGCTGGCCATGTCCTGTCGTGAAATCGCAGAAATCGACAAAGATTGCAAGCTGGTGGGCGCTAGGGGGGAGGGGGAGGCCGAATGACACCTCTAGCGCTGATCTATGACTTAACCCTCACTGCAGACACACGTCTTAAATCACGTGCACCTCGGTTGGTTGGGTCGGCAGCTTATTCTGACGTAGACATGGTGATCCAGTGCAAACCCTTTTACCGGAATCCACTGTAATTTCTATTTTGCCGAGTGTTGGCTACAAATATCGTTTGACTGAACGTTCGATTTGCTGGAATAAGAAAGTGTGCTGAGCGATATCGTAGTGACGTGTTCTGTGTTAACAGCTTTTGAGAGTTAAGACACACCAGTTAGCGACCTTTTTAAGAACGAACCCCTTAAATTCTTTCAGGGCGGTCGTCCAAACACACAGCCACATTTGTTGTGGTGTCGTTTTAAGAAAGTAAGTCCTGATACCTTTTAAACTGACCGATAGCATGAAGATGCCCAAAAAGTAATGACTAGCAGTGAAAGTTTAGGATTTCATGTCATTTTGCCAGGATCAAGTGAGAGATTAATAACAGATCGCCCAGGACCCTCCCGGATTTCTTACTTAATCTGAAAAAGAGTTCTTTATATTAAGGCCTTCGCACTTGCCAGGGATTACACCTAGGGGCATTTCAGTGAACAGGTTGGCTTTAACAGAGCTCCCTTCATCAAGGCGCTTATCGAAGCTGCGACAGATAGGACAACGAGACCGTGGCTCAATATTTGGAGCGTTGGATTTACTAAAGCCTAGTAACCAAACGAACGCGGGTTCGAAGCGCGAAAACTCGGGGTTGGGTAAAGTCGGCTGACGACGGCTAATAAGCCAGAAATGACCATCCGAGTATTAGCTATCTTCGTCGCTAATCCCCTCCCACTTTTGCGTCATTTTGGAGCCCTAACATGTGAGGAGTCCAGATGACACCGTGCGGAAATTGCGGTGTAGCGTTTCACTTCTTCAAGTGAAACCTGACCGCGGACTGCGGCGATCTCGGAAATGTGATCTTCCGTGCTCACCAGCCTAATTTCAAAAAATCTTCAGGCGACCGGAACTGTTGTGCAACCATGCTAATAGCGGAAAGCTCAAAGTCAGGAGCTTATTAACACTCTATAATGTAAGAATCGGAGAACCAGCGTGACTAAAGACAACATTTAAACATATAAGTTGCTTGTGCAATTGACTCACCGTGGCTTGTCCCCCTCCGTGCTCCGATTTGTAACCAGAGGTTACATGACAAACCTAGCTCGGCATAAGTCTAACGAAAAAAGTATATTGGGGAAGAATAAGAGTAGGATGATCACGCATGGATTAGTTGCCGTAGTCATTCAGTCGTACCGCAACCTCAAGGTGGAACTCCTCAGATTAGAACTCGGATGCATTTGGTCACTGGGCCTACTATTCTATCAGTTGATTCACGAGCTCAGGTTTTATCTGCGTCAGGCGGAAATAGCTATCGTTATATTCACATCTATGGCCTTTGTCACGATAGAATACGACCAAGTTTACGTGGACAGCCGGTCACCATTGAGGAGGAATTAATTCCTCTCTGGTTGGCCGCCTTATTGCAGGCTGTGCGGTTGTTCATACTTGTTCCAACCTTGGTAAGGGCCTCCTCTGAGGGTCAGTCGTTCCAGCTGTCAAAGACCAAATTTCCGGCCAAATATATGTGCCAAACCATAGGAAGTTTTAATGCGAATTCGCAAACGTGCCAGCCTCCTCGTCTGGCGTCCAGGGAAGGGCACAGTGGACACATTGACTGACCAGTTTTATGTTCGTTGACTTCCCATGGAAATTCTAACTTTGTATTTGTAAAGAAGATGAACGCGCGATTACTAAGACAGTACATGTATGAGTCTGAGCTTTCGGTCTTCTACAGGAGGCCATCGCCAGAGACTGTGAGAGTGCGGCGTCAGGTGAACAGTGTTTGTGGTCAAACGCTGTATTTACTTTGCGCACGCACGGCCTATTGGAAAGTTGGAATTCCTAAAGGCATAGAATGCAGATTTCTGGATGTAGCTGAAAAGTAAAGAACAGTCAGGAATGACGCATTCTGACCCCATTTTCATTATTTGTCGGTTTATTTTGATAGTGTTTAGCAAACATCTCTACACCCTTGCAAAGGAATGCCAGGTTTCAAAATCTGACCGACGGGGGACTTGCTACGCAAAAGTTAACCTACCTTTCTGTCGAAGACAGGTTGAAGCAGGGACGTACTGGTAGATGCACCTGCTGAAAGCCATGGAAATCTGTCATTTTATGGGTATTTTACTCAGCCTAAATAAGTCACCTCGAAAGTTGACCATTCAGTGGCCACTGGCTGCATGTTTCTGGACTATAAATGCAGGCGAGTTCGGCTTCTGACGCTGTTCTCGGTTGCTAACCTACAGAATCTGATTAAGACCATCGTGCCTAATTGAACGGATCGACGAACAGCACCTCTCGGCAGCCAGTTATTCTCCGACCGCAGTTGACAGGGAGGCGAGGCTTTGACCAATCGGTGGGACGTTTGGCAACGAAATTCAATGACTAAATTGTCCGGCTCGAAGCGGCGGGTTTGGAGTCGGGGTGATGAAAAGAAGCAAGAACTGTCTATTCCCAGCGCCCCATCATATTCGTTGGTAGAACTCGGCTTCTCTACTTCCACCTCGTTTTCATGTTTGGAGCGTCACTTACATTTCGCCAAACGAAAGAACTACCCGCACTACGCAGCCTGCCGACCTTGCTGCTGCCCGCCTCTGATTTGCAACTCTCAAATGAACACTCCTGAAGCCCCATTCCGACCAAAACTCGTCAGAGTCGAACGAGATGAAAAGAGATCCCATGGCCGTGGATGGACCCCGGATCACCTCCCGCCGTAACGTCCGAACAGGCAGATAATAGCTACTTCCAGAATGATCACGGTATTTACTTTCAGACGATAGGGCGTAGCACAAACCTGTCCGAAGCATCTACCTCGTAGGCAGGGCTTGTTCGCACGAGTGGCCGTGGCTCCTGACACTGCGTAATAACCAAGTTTTTTGTTCGATTGATTTTGAACGATGGCTGCCCACGTACTGCCTGCGGTCCGTCGCGTTAAACTACGCCAATCCAGTGCATACTTCGCGCTGTGACGATGACTCACATCTCGCCCTGATTGGTAGATTCTACCTCGACTGTTCGTTGACGGTGGTGTTTTGCAGCCGCCTCAGGTTCACGCGTTGTTCGGTAGCGCGCCGTGGGCGGCTGTTTGAAGCGCAAGTTGCCGCTGCCGTGGGCTATTTGTGGTTCTTTTGGGTGCCTTTATGGCGACTAGAGTCTCCATGGCCAATCCGTCGACAATGAAGCCACGATAACAATAGGCTGACTCGCGTGTCATCGACAGTAGTGCCGGCCGAAGTTCTATGGTCGTCAAAACTTATTGCGCAACGTCACAGTCCGCAACCTCTACTCCAGAAGGACTTTTGACACTTTCGGGCTGGGCATTATTAGACGGGAAATTATCCACGCTGGTGCTTGCTTGCAAATGGATGGCACAAATAAAGTGTATTTGAGGAAGAGCGATGTAAGCATAACGGAGTTGAGCCATCCTTACCGAAAGAAAGGCATATGTCAAATACGCTCAGCCTAAGTTGCTTCACACCCAGCATTTATTTAATCAAAATTGCACTAGGTACTGAAACAGCGTGAACCTGTTTTTTTCTGACAGGAAAGATTATTTACGCGAATTCGCAACTATGACTACCATGAAACATCATCTCAAGTCAATTCAAGTAAGCTAGCATGAGAGCTGTTAGCCATGAATTATTTGTTCAAACTGCCTTTGTTAACCATACCAGGGAAAATAATCCCTAGAAATTTGGCATCTTTCGTACTGGTCTCCGATGGTTTCCACGAGTTCGATCATAATTTATTGAGAGCAAGTACCCAAACTGTATTTTCTGCGCTAGTTTTGCCAAAAATGTTGTCTTCCTTGACGTTAGTACCAGACCGCAGGGTATGCCTTTGCCAAGGAAGTTTCAAAATTATCAGATTTTTGTGATGATTTTGACACATAGCCCTCTTTTTGCTGTTCGGAAAGTCTGCAACTTAATCCGGTACGGCTGTAGTCTATGACAATCAGAGGAGATATTCGGTAAGATATGTGAACAGGGGCCCCCATAATACAGATGGCTTTGCACTAAATTTCAGGAAGGGTACCTAGCCGTAGACCTAATCTTCCTGGGATTTATCGCAAGATCGTTTGCATTATGGGGATTCATATTTTCATGTCCTACCATATATTCATGTGGGCGGTTTACTGTACCAGATTTCGTGGATTCCATATGTTGCAGTAGGCTGTGCGGGTAACTTGTGAGTAAACTCACGGCTCTCGGCGGGGTCTCGTAGATCTGGTGGCTAGAGGGTTGGCTGTACCCAAACCCTCCCCTACCTGTTGTGGGTTAGAATCCCGCAGAGGTCGCACAGCTTTTCACTGTTCGGTCAAAATGAATTATCGGATTGTCTAAGTTTCAGATGCTTTCTGATTTCAAACAGGCTAACGTTAGGCGCAAGATCTCAGCAGACATCTACGTGCGTCTTCCTATGTGTCTTTAAGTAGAAAGGCTTGTTTAGGTGGGCGTAAGACAGCTTAGTTGGGGACATTCTCGCAAGTTGATCTACCATGGTTGAAGGAGGGCCGCTAAGCAAACTACTTTGCATCCGTTTGGGTAAATTACTTGCGAAAAAAGCACTTCTACTTATGTGGTGTATGCTTGCTTTTTAAATTGGTCTTCGCTGCCTGTATAAAGTCAGGTAATCAATCAGGAATGGGCGCACACCGATCTTTTGACTTCCCAAAGCAGATAAGATCCGTATTGGTTTGCAAAGGTCACAAAAGGGCAACCAACTACAAGGCCGATATCGGCAAAGTCAGAATAATAGAGGGTTATATACGACGGTAAATGCGGATTAATTGATACAGAACTATCTCGAGTTTATTCTGCTATCACGGCCTGGTCGATTTCAGCGCGGTAGTTGGTTGCCTGTTAGTGACTGTTGTCACCCAATACGGAGCTTGTTGGATTCAGCGAGCTAATGGATCGGGCCTTAAGGATTGCGTGCGTATGCTATGCCATGAGTCAGCAAACCATGGCCCTCTCAGACTAATGCTCACTGGCATTTCTCTGGCACCTGACTCCCTGCTGGCGGATTCGCTCGTGCTCCCGTTGAGCATACATGTGTCATGTGACTTGTGTCATCCTCTTCTCCTGCTGACCCATTTTTGTTGTCGGTTAAAATCCTGGTTAAGTGTTTGTTGTGGACCAGGTGGTGTGGTGGCACGCCTAGGCGCGGGTCCGGCCGAGGCAGTCACCCACGTCCTCTTCCGCTTTCGGCCTTCTTGACTATGTCTTGACACGGGGCTTGGGTGGGGGAGGAGAGTGTGCGGTAGATGCTGTGCAAGTCTGATATCACTCCAAACTAACCCCTGCACAAGCCACTGTGCCTGCTCTCACCTTGCCGTGGAGCGCATGGTTAACATCGTCAGCAACGACAGTCGAACTGCTAAGTCAAGGGATCAGCGTGAGCCCATTCCTGATTAAGTACTCGATCTGCAGCAACGGATAATGAGAGGTGGTGGGATACTGATGGGCTCCATCCCAGCTCACGACCCATTTACTAGACCCTGTCTGTGTGCCATCCTGGTTGCATGCTAGCATACAAAAGGTCCGTAAGCGTGTGCTATGTCAGTATCAGCGAACCATGGCCCTTAGGCGCTGGCGGTTCCCTGATACCTGGTTCCCTGTCAGTGGATGCGCTTGCGCTCCCGCTAGGTACGCAAGTGGTAGGCATGGCTGCCCGATCATCCTCGTCACTCTGGCCCCTGTTGGAGTGTTGTTGTTGTTGGCGAAGAATCCTGGTCATCTGCTGTGTGGACCAGGGGGTGTGGTGGCACGCCTAGGTGCGGCTCCGGCCGTGCCAGCCACCTGCTCCCTCCTCCCACCTCCGGTAGATGCAGTGCAAGTCTACTATCGTTATAAACGAACTCACGCACAAGTCACCGTCCCTGCTCCGCCCTGCTGTGGAGCACGCGGTGGACATCTTCGAACTCGACGGTCGAACCATCAGTATGCTAGCATAGGTTTTATGTTCCCGTCCCATATGTTGGTCAGGGCTATGAATGGCTGAATGAAGACAGAATAAGCCCGAAAAAGTTCTGTATCATTCGACCGACATCCAAAATCAATCAAACTTTATGGACGGGACGCACGCAAAATCAACTTCCTGCACTCTGTTCATTGACAATAACACGTTCCCCGGGCGGGGAGCAGCTTGGTTTTAGAGAAATCGGAGACTTCTCCTTTATCTGGGAAATAATTCGGTAGGAGACAGGAATACTAACGCAGGTGCCATTGCGTCAATCTCCTGGGGGACCTTAGGGTTGGGACATGGGGGTAGGTACCATTGTTAGAATATGGGGGAAGTCCCGTAAGTTGGGCTCCTTGTTCTCACGGATAACGGTAGTAAATATGCCCTAACTTACATAAGGCAAGCGGCATTAATAACCCTGACGGTAGTAGGGTAACGTCCACAAGACGCCTACAACGACAAACTAAGATTCTTCCCTCACAGGGTCATTGGGGCATGGAACGGACTCCCTGATGAGGTGGTTCTTTCCGAAACTGTCGAATTCTTTAAGTGTAGACTAGATGCTCATTTGCTGAGGACCTACTGTACATATAATCACGATTGTTTTAGCGGCGGCAGTTTGCGCCTGGCCCACACTTACCGCTAACTTTTGAATTTCCGCACTTGCTGATGCAATTGATGATTCTATTTCTGTTTATCGATATGAATAGGGAGCTCAAGGGTGAAAGCCTCATTCCCTTAATAAACTGACTGACTTTAAATACTTACATACTTCAAGGACAAAATTTTGAGGACGTAATATTATGTAAAATATGTAAAAGAGGCGATTTATCATGTATAGTTTATAGCAGATACGCCCCTGACGGGTACAAACACCGAAGACCAATGGAAAAAAACCACGTGATACATCCAATGGAAAATTTTCTACAAAGCGAGCGATTGGAAAACGACTGTTATAAGCCAGTATGCTACCGTGTGGGAATTTACTTGGCCGTAAAATAAGCGAGTGGGGTGCAGCAGAACTCATAGTAGCCACTCGCAAGGGAAAATATGGCGTCCTCCGTGCCATTCAAACAGGACTATGACGCATTAGCTCGGACGGCCCTTCCAATTGGCTCCTTTTGTGCGCTTGATAAGAAAAAGATGGTTGGACATGGGAATAAGCACCCATCTCGTGCTACAGGTGGCCCTGTGCTAAGTTCCAGGACGGGTACCTATTCTGTGTTCCAAGTTCCACCCTGATGCTAACGCGAAGTCTCCTTCTCCTGACACCCCGTTCTGGAAGTTAGCGCAAGGTCATTCGCAAGTCGGGGCGGAATGTATATAACCGCGCCCCACCAAAGGGACTACCAACCGAGAGACAGTTCACATCTGAGTCGAAGATGATCCACCGAGTTTGCTACGTAGATATCCCCATAGAATCAGCAAATAGGGCTTCAGAGCAAATTTGGATCAGCGAATGTTACTCAAGGCATCGGAATCCTCGCATCATATAAAAACTTGCAACATGGAAAACAGGCTGCGGGGGTCCGCGACCGGCCCTCCATTCGCCTATGGTTCAAGCATGGACACGAGTTCCTTCCAGAAACATTTTAGTTTGACCAGACAAGTTGGCTATCTGATCTGTTTTAGCCGAGGCGGGAAAGGTTCATCAGCCGGAAGTGAAGATGTCTGATATGCCAGAAAGTGTGTAGCGAGTCTGTGCGTCGGTTCGCTCAGTTTTGCTCTGAAGACCAGCCCAGGAGCTCACAGACGGCTTAAGAATGATGAGTGATTTACTGTCCATGACACAGTCTTCCCTCCTGCTATTGTAGATCTTTCGACTATCGAGTGCCCATTGCTGTACGACCGCCTGAGCGCTGGGACAAAATACAGAACGCACTCAATTATCCTGAAGTCGCGTCAGGTCAGTAAGCACCACTTCCCCCTTGCTGTTAATGTCCCTGAAGGCACTCGACAAAGAATGAGCTCAGTGCCATGTTTGAAGGCTCGGTCTTCTGGTTCCTCCAGACCGATGGAGGTGTGTTCCAATCCGATGTCTTCCTGTACAGCTGCCTGAGCAGCCATGAGCGAGGATCCCCGTCCCCCCCTCCCTGTCCATCAGTAAATCGTTTAGCCATCGGTCAGTATATAGAATGCACGACACTCGTAGAAAATCGCCCTAGATATCCCACAAAGACGCCTCTGGCTGGAAGTGCGAACAAGAATTTCCAAGTCCCTCCCCAGCAAGCAGTGACCAGCCCGCTCGAAAATACCTTTAAAGTGGAGGACATTAATCAGTAAGAAGAGTAAGGCAATATATTGAAGCTTCGAAAAGTGAATGCAAGACAATTTGATTGGTATGGAATAGCATCAATAACTTGGTCGCAGTGAGACAGAAATTGTGTGAGAGAGAGAATACGAGAGAGAGAAGAAGCAAAAATTGGCCCGCATAGGTGCACTTGAAACGGCCCCAGGCATCGCTCAGTCCCAGATGCCGGCGAGGAAAGAGGCAGCCTGCTCTTCGGTGACCACAGTGATTGGTAGGAAGGGATTTTTGCTGGATTGTAGGAATTTCTGTCCGTGGAAGGTAAAAAGGCGAAGTAAGTATAAATCGTGGGATCCAGCTTAGGCAATTAGTGAAAGTCGGGGTTAGAGAAAAATCCCCTGTTCACCCCTTCAAATAGCAATGGATATATAGGACTACTTCAGGTCTGGAAACTCGAACCCCAGGGACGATCGAATAGGGCCTTACGAGGAGGCGGGAGTTTGTGCAGGAGAGGCATAAGCCCAGTGCCCTGCTAATGTGGGGGCGTCTCCTCCACTACGTTATCAATCGACGACTGCTTGGTTACCCAGCCTTTGAAGGGTGATGGACCAGACAAATGTAGGGCGACGTGTCACCCTTCTGGGCTTAAAGATCTGAAAGCGTGTGCTTTGCCAGTATCCGCAAACCATGGCCCTCGCAGCCTGGAATGGGCTGGTATTTCCCTGACACCTGGTTCCCTGCCAGTAGATGCGCCTGTGCTCCCGCTGGGAATACAGGTCGTGAGCATGGTTGGCCATTTCCCTCGTCCTTCTGACCCGTTGTGGTGCTGTCGTTGATGGTTAAAATCCTGGTCAAGTTTTGTGGAGTGGAGCGCCAAGGTGCGGGTTAGGCCGCGCCATCCACCCTCTCCCTCCTCCCCCACCTCCAGTCTTCTTGACTCTGTCTCGACACCGGGCCCAGGTGGGGGAGGAGAAGAGAGTGCGGTAGATGCTGCGCAAGTCTACACTCAATGTAAACTAATTCACGCGCAAGTCGCCGTGTCAGCTCCACCTTGCCGTGAAGCACGCGGTGGACATCGTCGGGCACGACGGTTGAACTGTCGGGCGTTCACACCAAAAATCGGGGGCCTGGCAGAACAAATCTCGAGACAGCCCTTTCCAGCATGATAGGGATAAGGTGCAGATATTTTTGAGAGTTTTCCGAACCCTCCAAAGACAATATAATGGCTTAACCTCAAAGCAGACAATGAGGACGTAAAATGTGTCCAGCTACTGACACCAAGGACGACGGACGCAACCCAGACCCGCTGTAAAGCAGTCGGTCATCATGCGCGATCACGTGAGCAGCTGCGCCTACGAACTGCCAAGGTAGCAGAAATGGATGACTTACGTGGGCAACGCTGAAAGCGTTCCTCTTCTCGGCGTGGGAACAGTCCTTGCCGATGTAAACAAAGAGACCACTCTTGTCCTGAATCATGTATACATCATCCGGCTTGATAGAGCTCTTCGGGGCACTGCCCTGACAAACCACGGAAATCTCAATCTTTCCAGAGGCATCGGAGACCCTGCAGGGGGGAAGAGACAGAGAAAAGAAGGAGTAGGCGAGGGTTTGCGTCACCGGGAGGCTCTGACTTGGGGAAATATTCCATTTAAAGGGAAAAAGTATGCTGAGAAAATAGGAAGAAAGGCAGCCTTATTTGGTAACGATAGTAGGAATAATAGTTGAGAGGACTCACTTATAAAGTGCCTTAACTACATCGACCTTCTCGGCTGCAGGTTTAAGTGGTTTATCGGGGAGGCTTTTCCAGAACTCATGCTGTAACGAAGAGGAAGAAGGGGACGAACGGTTACAACGGATAAATAGGTAGTTTTATGGAGTAATATGGGAAACTTGACAGAGGTGGGGTGGGGACTCACGTCCTTGTCAATGGATTTCTCCTCCAAGACCTCAGTGACACAACGCCCATTGCGGCTAGATTCCAGATCTTGCAAAAAGGCAGCTGCCTAAAAAGAAGTAATAATTGTCTTGGTTACAGACGGATTCTCTGAATGTCATTATATCACAGACATCGAAATTGTCTGCAATATCAACCAAGTGGGCACGACAAAAGCACACTATGTGAATATCTGTTTTTGGCAGGTTTGGACAATTTATTTAATGCAGTTGTGAAAAACTTGGCGGCCTCGGTTGGCCTCGAACCCACGATGACGAGGACGAGGTTTGAGTACAGCCAACGCTCTAGTCGTTGGGTGAAATCCTGGTAGGTATCAGATTTGTGTACTTCGAGACCATCTTTCTACAAAGTGCCTTCTTCAGTGCATTAGAACAAGCAAGCAGCACAATTAGGACTATCATTTCTATGTAGTTAAAAACACTTTTTGCCCTTATTATTACAGACCCCATAATGAAGAAGGAGACACGATCGCTGGGACAAGAGCTTCATTAGCCTGACGTTTCGGATTCCTGTTCGGACTCATCATCAGAGACAAAGCAGATACGGGTGGTTCATGCACAAGGGGCTGCAGTATTTATGGGATGCAATCGCCACGCTACCGCATACCTATGAGTGTTCACGGCTCCCCCCCTTCATCAGGGATCGCTGCACGTGGTGTGATGGCCGACATTCGCATCGTTAATTGCTGCAATTTCATCACGTTCGTTGGATGTTGGTGTGCTGATTGCTCGACCATCTGACGCGCTGACCCTGGTGTTGGGAAGTGTTCACCTGTGCGCTCCCCGCGTGGCTAATTACTCCGCCTAGGCGAAGTCTCAGCACCGAGTATGGGATGGGAAGATCATTGCACTTGTTAATTGACTGGGGCCAGTAAACCATGACTCAAGCAGCTCCCGGCTCACGAGGTTGTCACCTCTTGTGACAATTTCGGCCTCGTGAAATTTGAATGTGTGGCCGAATCTCGTCGCATGAGCCGCAACTTGAGAGTCAGCGTCATTTCTCGACACCGCTGCAGCGTGTTCGACCATTCGCGTTCGGAGCTGTCTTCCGGTTTCTCCGACGTAGTTGCTTTGTCCGCAACTGCACCAGGTCCGATAAACGACTCCAGACGTTTCTTGTCGTGGCAGTGGGTCTTTCGGTTTCATTAACTGACGCCTAATGGTTTCCTCGGGTCTGTGTGCAACTCCAACTCCAAGTGGTGCGAGTGGGCGGCCGACAGCCTCCGAAACGTTCTTACCATATGGAAGCGCTCGCCAAAATTTGGTGTCCGTGCGGTTAGGCCTTTCGTGCCTTTTGCATATGCACCGGTTGACGAAGTTGCGCTGGTAGCCATTGGCATTGAAGACCCGTCCCATAATGCAAACGACCTTGCGTCACAGTTCAGGGGAAGGAGGTGCGTATACATACCTGTTCCCGAACAGAATTTCTAACCCTGGAAAATATCGTGCTGAAAAGACTGTAGCTAAGATATGTATCTACGGACACGCTATATGACCTTTCATTCATGCGTGGGTTCGTGTTGATGTGAAGTTACTAGGATTTCTTCACTCGAGGAAGATTTGAATTGCCGCGACGGTCAATGACACATCGGACACCCAGTGGCGGTCAAACAAATCATAGGTATTTTTGAGTAAGTGACCCACAAGTATGTAGTTACTCCGGTAATAAATACCCTAGAGAAATGGTTCGAAAATGGTGATATGAAGATTCCAAGACAACCAATGGTCTAGAGAGACTGCCATACGTCAAAATTACCTGTGAGGGTCATTGCATTATTTTAATCTACTGCGCGATATGTATAAGACAACACAAGAAGTACATGACTCTTCTTGCAGCGATTACATTAAAAGATAAGAAAGTGCTTTAATTATACATTTTCAGCAAAGTATTGTATTGCAGTTTGTTGATAATTTCAGCATGTCTCATGAACATATAGAAAAGGCAGTTTTTCTGTTACAAATACAGCACTGATACGAATTGATTCCTCACTTCTATTTCTCGCTCATAGCGCGAGCAAATTTTTATTCATAAATAAAGGTCCAAAGACAAACAAGTTGAGATCACTGCCTCAGAGTAGCCAACTGTAACAGGGAGAAGTTCTTGGGCAGCAAGATTATTCAGCCAACAGATGTATACGCATGCTTATGGCTAGAAACGGGGTCACGGTTACGATTGTGGTTCTGGAGCGATTTCTTTAATACGACAATGAAAGCGCCCTGCGATACAATGAGTTATGGTCTTGACCTATTGCACACTCACAGAATTCTTCTCGAAGGCGCTGCACTTAGAGCCATTGAACTGGTAGGCCTTTGCGCCCAGATCAAGGATGAAGACGTCGCCAGAATCAACGGCGCTCTTGGTGAACTCCACCTGTCGCATGTAGGTGACCTTGCCCTCCTTGCAGAAACGCAGCAGACGCGGGCGGTACTCCTCAGGTTTCACGTGACGGAAGCCGGATTGATAGCCACCCTTGAGGATCCTGACGAGAGGACAGAGGGGAAGGGGATAAAGTGGAGAGGCTTGAGCAAGGAAAAAAGTAGCAAGCTTGACGGAAGTAGACTTAGAGCCAAAAGAACATTCCCCCTGAAGAAGAAGACACGATCGTTGGGACAATCATGCCGTAAAAACTGCATCTGATCGTTCGTCAGCTCCTTTGACGACAGGTTGTGCACAAGTTTGTCGTTTCTGGGCGACGTTGGATTGGGCAGCTTTCGGAATCTGTTCTCTAGTGCTGCATCACGTATCACTCTCTGTTCGCGGGCTTGTTCAGTCACCCTCTGCAGGACCAGGTTTGTACCGATCTCGCCCATTAACTCACAGCATCTGGTCTTTTCTTGGTCAATCCTTTGACGGTACTTGCGAAGTCTCGCGTGGCAATCTTGGAGGAGCACTCGGATCATCCTTCTGCCGTGTTGAAATACTCCCCGTTTCGCCAAATCCGTGTTGACCGGGGGCATGCATGAAACACCTTTCGGTAACACATTATTGTCGAGACACCTGTGCAGAAACTGAGTCTGCGAATACGTGGAGGCCTTCTGAACGGCGAAGGTTCCCTATCGCCGCGCCGATCGGAGCGCATCGCGCCCAAATACATTGCCAATAGAAGCGAAGAGAAGGAAGTGGTCTTATAGTAGTCCCATGAAGTAGTCTTGAAGCAGGAGACACGAGCCAGCGTGTCCCGGTGATCGCGTCTCCTTCTTCAAGACTATTTCCTGGGACTCGTCTCTTCGCTTCTATTGGCAGAACATCCCCTGCATACACACAACCCACACTGCGGAGGGTCGAAAAAAGACAAGCCTAGCCGAAAGACCACTGAGCAAGCGGATTTACACGGCAAGCTCACCACGTCCGCCGGCCGATCAAATATGTCTGTGAGGCAGCCATATTAGTCGTGCGTGGGACAACTGGCTTGATAGCAGTATCATTCCCACAACATGTGAGTTGCCTTCAGTAGCTCAGTTAGAACGTTGTCGGACAGAACCAAGAAGAGACAGTTCTGTCAGGTCAGGGGTGTGTGCTGCGCTGAAATGTAGTCGTTGAACTAGAAAAGAGATGTCGGTGGACAAAGAGACTGCTCGAATGTGGATAAAGCGATAGGAGGAAACCGGGGATTATACGCAGGCTTCGGGATGTGGGAACACAAAAAAATCTACAGAAGACAGCTCGGTCATCGGGACTGTGAGGGAAAATTTGTCTGCCTCAGGACCTAAACCGCAGAAACCGCATAGTTTTCCAACATCGTTGCGCCCACGGTAACGTCGTTGGAATAAACATATCACGCAATCAGGACGCCTTACTCATGTTCAGCATCTGAAAAACCCAGGATACGACAAAGAGATGGAGTGAGAGGCATGAGACGATGCTTGTGGCAGGGCCCTGTGTGGACTCAAATTATACGAACTGACGAATGAACGTTCACAATGCGACACCGGGACGAGGGACTTGGCGTTCGAAGGATAGACAGAAAGTCATCCATGATCCAACTTCCCCATTCCGTTGTCCAGGGTAGGGCTGACTCCGTTCATGTATGGGACGCCATCAGGATAATTGAGGAGTGCTTTAATTATCCTACAGAGGAACGTAACTGGTGGAGAATATTGTAACATTCTAGAACCACATCTGTTTCTAAAATCGCTTGTTGTGTGCCATTGGCACTAACAGGACGATAATGCAGGATCTCTTCGTCAGTTCTCGGTGGATCGTTCCAAGGTTATGCATAATATAAGTCCTCTCCAACGGTCGGCTTATTCGTCAGGCCTTAACCTAACCGAAAGCACCCGGATTACAATGATCGTAAAACGAAGGAAGTAGATAACTTACGTGATCCCTAAGGCCTATAGGAAGCAATTATTACGGGCTGAAACATAATCCGTTTTGGTCATATCGTCAATACGACTATGATTATGAGACACCGAGGCGGAGAGAGTTAAAAGACCACATATAGTAATATGCAGCAACAGAGAAATCCTACATACAATAAGTGTCAGATTATCCTTATGTAAACTTTTCTAGCTGTATAATGGTTTTTTCGGGACGGAAGAGGCGTGGTCCTGTCCTATGGGTGATGTGTGCAAGTGTCATGGGCACAAACGTCGTTTCTCGGTCCTAGCTTAGCGTCCAAAGGGGAGAAGGCAGTGGAGAAGCAGAGTGATGGCATGAGGTGCGTCTACAAGGACGTACGTCAAAACGGCGCGGACTGACTACCATTAGAGATATCTTGGAGGCGGGTGGAGGAGGAGGAGGAGGAGGAGGAGGAGGAGGAGGAGGAGACTTAGGGTCACGCTAGCTAAAATATTGGGCGCGTCTGTGAGTTCCCGCCGAGGGGCCTGGAGAGATTCCATGTTCACGAGGGGGAGGGAGTTTAAAAAGGAGTCGATCCCAGGTTTTACGGTGGGAGCAAAAGCAAATCTTACACCAATTTTTGGAAGTAGCTCTTGAACCGGTCAGACTCATAGCCCTCGACTTCACGATGTTGGATACCAGCGTCGTCGAGATAGGTGTCCAGTTCCACGGTCTTGTAGGCTGCAGTGCCGTACTCATCCTAAAAAAAGTAGTAATAATAGTGCGTGGGCTGGTATCAGTAATGTCGAAGTGACGGTGCTAAGCCGGACCTCGGAGACCTTACCTGCGTACTGTGCTTTCCGATCCAGAAGTGGATGTCGTAGAGCAGCTTCTCCTGGTCGGGCAACTTGCTCCCCTTGCAGACGACATATGAGTCACCATTGTAGAAAGTTCCGACGTCCTCATCTTTCACCTCTTCGAGTTGAAATTGCTGTGAAAGAAGTATACATTTTCCCATTATTTTTTAGAATCAGTGAAATAAAAGGTTAGTAGTTTGCATGGCCAGCTCCTGAAAGACCAACATTCCAAATACTGCGCCTGACTGCCTACGTCGCCCTATGCTAGAGCCAGGTGCACATCTAATTGTCAAAGCCCAATACACATCGTGTGTAAAGCGTTACTTTGAAGGCGAAAATGTGTGCGCATAAAAACCGATACGTCACAAATCACTTGGAGGCAAAGAGAACAAGCAGTCATACCTTGACACGCCATACGAAGAGAAAAGGTTCCTTGGCCTTTCCAACGCGGTCCCAGGCCTTTTCTTTAACTGCAGACTCCTCTAAAGGAAAACAAGGGAAATTTGTAATGCAGCCGAGAGCCTGCGGCCGTAGAGAATACAACGAAGAGCTTTATGTGGAGACCAGAACCCCGCAATTTACGGGTCATTCTTGTGCTGATGCCTGCCGAGGCGTCGGTGCGTCTTTTCTGGGTCTGGAGGTTCCGGCCAAGGGCGCACACAAAAAACCCCCTGTTTTCGGCCACGGATACAGGCGAAAAGGAGTGACCGGTTGTCTGTGCAAAGACCTTATCGCCAAAAATGAATCCTAACATTAAAGCACCTTCCGGTGCAAATCTTCGACACCGTAAACAATGCCACGTACCTACCCGCTTTCTCAGAAGCTGCATTATCTAGATCTACGACTCTGAAAATCAATACTGAGGTGGGGAGTTGAGCTTGAATCCCTCATCTATCCTAACGGTCTCCTTGGCCAGGCTTCTTTTTGGTGAAGCAATGCACGGTGGTTCATTGGAAGCTATAGACTATGGTCTAGACACAGGAATCCCCCCCCCCCGTTTTTAGGACACCGAGTCCCAATTACGTCTCGGGGACACTAATAACCTGAGACCTTCACTACACGGCACCAGCTAAAAGTACAAGTGTAGAGGAGGAAAAAGACAATAAGCAAAGTCGACAAGCAGCTGACACGGAGCAAGTGTGAAAGGCCCCCGTAAACTATACAGTACTTACTCTTGACACTCTTTTCCTCGTCAGAGCCGAAGAGAGCCAGGTTGGAGTCCTTCCAGTCGTAGTCCTTCCCTTTCACCAGACCAGCCATGATTGTCACTCAGACCGCGAGGCCACTATTAGCGCCTGATTATAAAGACGAATTCACACAAGTGACTCGACTTGCACATAATGTGGACCAATCGCCAAACAGATCAGTCGTCGCGTCGGCGTAGTGGAGAGCTGAGCAAAGCGGCCGCCCGCTTCATGCACTGGTTGGCTGAGGCCTCACAGGCAGAGGCAACGCTGCCTGTCAGTGCGTACATATGTGCCTTATTTACCGCGACCTTGACGACTGCCTACAAGGCCGCTAGTCCGTTTACGCCCTGGAGGGAGGAGGTGGAGGCGGGGGGAAGGTGGGGGGCAGGAAGGAATCGTGTGACGCCAAGCCCCTGTGCCGCACCAAGAAACGCCAGTCCAACTGACAACTACGACACGGGCCAAGCCTTTGCAGCGCGTTCAACATCGAAAGACCATGCTACGTTACCGTCTATCCATGCTGTCAGAAAGATGTTAAAAAATTCCCAGTCGAGGATCAGGGGAACGGCTACCTCTCCTCAGTCCGTCATCTTATTCTTTATGCTACATGTCTCAGTTCCGTCGTTTACAAAATGTCCTCTGCGCAAAGCGGTCTCTTTTGTCGCAGTTTCGACCAGTAAAATTTCAACTTGGAACTGGTTATAACAAACCGATTCCCGAGGATAGGGAGCACTCTGGTGCAACTGGATCGAGGAGCATTAGCTGACATGCATGCCGTAGAAAATCGTCATGCCTTCAGAACGAAGGCCAGGTAAGTTGGGAACTTTGAAATTTGAGGGCGTTTTAATAAGCAGGCCGAACGAAAGTGCTGTTGGAGGGAGTTATTTTGCAACTTCGAACTAGTGAGAGAATTGCTCATGTCTAGTAGTCTCTCGGCCATCCTTTGTCATTTTCTTGACAAAGGGCCACACGAGCCGGGGAGTTTTGCGTCACAAATTGACTGCTATAGCAGCGCTGGGCAAGTCGCGAAGTCCGCGATGGACTTTGACCCCCATAAAAATCGGTTCTTCGGCAAAATCGGTTTCATAGGGGTTTCATTGCACTTTTTCGAAGTAAATTGCTTAATTGGCTGCCGTTTTTTAATCTACTCGCAAATAATGCATAAGAGAAAATAGAAAGGATATACTAGTCCTAAAATCATGGTGCAGATCCAGCGATAGAGTGGTAAATGTGACTATCTTCGATTGATGTTGCATATTTGGTACAATCGACTCGGCTTCACATGTCAGTTGACAGGGCAAAGTAATTCGAAAAAGCAACGTCGCTTCCTGCCTTGGTTGACTCACTGCGCGGATCTGTAGTGGTTGTACTCCGGGCGCCTCTAGCGCGTCCGGTTCTCGACGAATCACATTCCGCCCAAACCTACAAATCAGCGTCAAGGCCGATAGAGACGCCCTCACGCAAGCGCTATGACGACCGTCTCACTCTAATTTGGGACGTGCTTCACGCGTCGCTGGAAGCGTGCCCTTGTCCAGCTGCTAACTCGTATCAACCAGTTATCCAGTCTTTCTGTACAGAATACAGCCTCCCCTCAGTTGGCGTCCAACCCCTCCTTCTATTCGGCATCGGGCCTGAAGGTCGTAGTGACTAGGGTCTCCCCATGGCCTAGGCTGCTGAGACAGATCTACAAGGTACGACCAGAGTTAGCGCCCTCTGTTTTGATATCCGGGTGAGTCGTCCAGAGCGCAATTATCGCTGGCAACACCTTAAAATGACTCTTTACGATACAGTGTCAAGCCACAAACAAATAGGTGACCGCAGTGTGCTCTGATTGCAACTTTACCGACTCTGACCGGGCCATATGCTTCAGTTGTAGTTTGCGAAGGGAGGGGTTCGACGGTCAAGAGGAAAAGAAGGTTCGGTTCCGCTCTTTGTTTTTCATGATAGGTAAACTCCATAGCTTTCAATTTAGTGTACTCTGGAAGGTTGGCTTTGAGAGATACTATGAACATACGTGCGTTTCAATGAAGGGAAATTCTGTAAGATGTGGTTATGTAGCCCCACCCGATGGACAAAATACTGTTGGGGTTGGGGTTAGGGTTAGGGCTAGGGCAACTGTTTTCAACCACCCAGAGTACAACCGCGCATTCCCAATAGCTTCTCTTTCGCATACAACTACTTGACCTCGTCGTCTGTGCGTCCCCCGCTCCACACGGTAAAAATCCCTATAACCGCCGGTCCCGTATTACAGGTGACTGGGGTTTGTTTACTCCAGGCGGGGCTACATAACCACATCCGACCGGGAATTTTGCTCAAATATTACCAAACAGTCGCCTGAGCTGCTCTAGGTGAAGGTTGTGCCACATGACGGTCATAGCGGCCGCTTAGTTCAGCAGTTCATTTTTTTAGCGACAGGGGGTATACCTCACCGCAATGTGACAAAGTAGCAAGAATCTGGCAATGTTTCGAACTTTCTACACCGGATTCTACACCCAGTTGGTGTTTCCACATTCACCGATTTCTCTAGCGCTTTTCTAGGCTACGTATGTACAGTAGGTGGGCTAACTCATGAAATGTCAACCGAAATTCCCAAAAAGCGTTTTCTTTTCGAAAAGATTAATTAAGTAGGGTTGTAAAACTGATTAGCCTGTAACATAGTTCTATAATATTTCAGTACGTCAGGATGCCGGCTTTCGAATGAACTTCCTTCCAGCTGCTTGCAAAAACTACACTCTGTAAAAAATGTCTACTTAACTGGCATGCATTTTTCTCATTGACTTTCGATGTCCCTAAAAGTCCAATTATCTGTCATGGGAAACATGCACAAAAATATTCATTCTTTCGCTCATTCGGTAGAAAATTACGTCTTATTCTAATCTTATACTCGAAGGAGGGACATAATTCGATCTTCAAAAACTTTTCCAATTCCCGAATAATTTTAAGCCCGCTCTACCGTGACACTTGCATTCAGGGTTTCCAAACTACAAACCGTGTATGTTCCGCGAACGGAAAACCATACATTTCTCTACGGTACTAAAGGGGGACCACATAGGGTTCGTAAAATTCATGAGTGGATTTTATCCATATTGTTAACTTTACAAGCCACATTGGTAATTGCAGGGGCATGACTTTTTATGTAAGGTTATTTCCCGGTATTAAAAAATATCACAATTGGAAACTTTTTTGAAACTGAATTATGTCCCTCCTTCAAGTATAAAATTTGAAGATGTAATTGTCTACCGAATGAGCAAAAGAATGCATATTTTTGTGCATGTTTTCCATGAAATATAATTGGACTTTTAGGGGCATCGAAAATCAATGAGAAAAATCTATGCAACATAAGCAGTCGTTTTTTGCAGAGTGTAGTTTCTGAATGCAGCCGGAAGGAAGTGCATTCGAAAGCCGACATCCTGACGTAACTGAAATATTATAGAATTATGTTACAGGCTGACCAGTTTTACAACCCTTCTTAATCGATATTTTTGAAACGAAAACGCATTTCAGAATTTCGGTTGACATTTCATGAGTTAGCACACCTACTCTAAGTGCTAAAACTAAAGCCTTGTTGTACAGGTCTCTCATAACAGCACTCCGTGATGGTCTCGCCCTAACCCTCCTCCCCCTTCCCCCCTCCCCCCCCCTATTCCGGTGGTTCTTACTGCAAACTCACGTTGTTCGTCATCAGTAGGAGGGGAAATAACTTGGAATGCCCAATCTCAGTCCTTCAAAGGTACCCGACGTAAGGGGGCTCGAAATTCTGTTAAACAAACGGAATGCTTGCAGTTTTTTTGCCCTGCGCAAAAACAATGCGCGTCCACTTACATAACATTAAAATGAACCCGCATTTGGAAGGAAAAACAACGAAACTTCATTAGCGAACAGCAACGTGTCTTTCAACCAAAGTGTCACATCTAGTTGTCGAATTACTGTTAAGAGTTTACGGACAATTGAGTGGTACCGCCCTCCCAGCTTGCAGTATTCAGTACACAGGCTTTTGATGCAAACAGAACTGCGTTTGATCTTCTTGTAAAACAGTAGGCCCTTAAATTTAGCTGGGTTTTAAGCGGTACACACCACTGTGTAAGAATTCCCCCAGTGGGTTGCAGTTTCATGACTTGCAGAATTTTCTCAATAGCATGCTTGCTTCAAATAGCCAGATGCTTTACTTTCAGTAGCCTGTAGTAATAAATATCTCCACAGCCTAATTTAAGCGACTTCGGGGATATTAATGGGAAAACACCAAAAATGCTTGTTTCAAAGGCTTGAAATTAGGGGGCTTTTGTGTAAGGCTTCCTCAGCATTTACTCAGGTGTCACAAAGATGACGGTTCAACTGATTCAAAAAACAGAGTCGGGAAGTACTCACCTTTGGATTTTTTGTCAAAAAACTTCCGAAGTTCTGTCTTTTCCCAGTCACAGACGCTCATGTTGATGCCTTAGGAAGACCCATACAGAGAGACTTATGCGCTTTTAAATCAAACATCCGAAAAGCGGGACTGCCAGAAACGAGCGGTTTAACCAATGGGCGTTTGGCGTCCTTAAACCTGGATGATCGACTAGCCGAATGGGGATCTATTGAAGCCCTGATTGGTACCCGGCCCCGCTTCCCAAAGTTGACCTTACAACATTCTGGGCAGGCGTCAGCCTCATAAAACCATCTACTGCCTAGTAACCTCTGCTTCGCCGCCCAAAATTATTCCCCGTCACCGGTATGCTGTCTCGTAGGCCTTCTGACTGAAAGGCTTGTGGTTTTTTGTTAAATATCACAGGAAGTGGCTTGGACCAATGTGGTCTGATTTCAGGGTGGAATACCAGGCAATTCGGTGAATCATTGGAGCTACGGGTCTGTAACCTTCGCACGTAGTCGCATGGTGACGAGCAAGGAATTATTGAGGCGAGTTACCGATGAGGGCAAAACAGATTGAAAAGACCGTTTGTGGCCTATTTGCTCCTATTAGCCAGTCATACTTCACCCCCGGGTCGGGTCGACCAGGAATTTAAACCCGGGTCCAGTGAATCGTTGTGCCTAATCACCTGACCAACCGCAGCCGACAGGAGCTGTGTCTGCTGGTTC